CTGCTATATTAAAATATTATTTATAGAGTGTGATTAAAAAAATAAAACTAATAATATTAAAAAGAAAAGAAATAAAAACAGAACTGGGGAAGCGTGAAGAGAACCATGAACAGTGAAGAAAGCAAGAAAAGAAAGAGTCAAATGTGGACAATGAAACTCGGAAGAGAAAGATGACTAGAGAATTAAACTACAAATAATAATATAAATAAAAACATTTATACTTTTAAAATCAAATGTTTGACAGAGAGTTAAGTAATAAAGTATTACACAGTAAAACACTGCAGGAGATTGATATCTGTGAAATAAACAGGAACATGATCAGTAACACGGCGGTGTAACGAAGTGGAGATCATGTGACCGCACCAGCGATGATTATTTCCTATAACAGCATGTGCTCGAGTGCTTTATTCCTCTTACACCACAGCAATCAGATGATTTTATTAAAGAATGACATCATATTTTTATCTGTTTTTAGTTACATTTATTGTAGTGGAACCTCGGTGAAGTGAGTTAGTCCCTGTTGTCACTTACGTTATAGCAGCTATAAACAGTCATTCCCTCACCATCCCTCTCTTCATTCTCCCTCACTATCCCTCTCTTTATTCTCTCTTTTCATTCTCTCTCTCTTATTCCCCTTATTCTCTCTATTCTCCTATTCTCTCTCTCTATACCTCTATCCTCTCTCTCTATTCCCCTTTATTCTCTCTCTATATTCCCTTTATTCTCTCTATTCTCTCTTATTCTCTCTCTATTCCTCTCTTTATTCTCTCTCTCTACCCCCTTTATTCTCTCTCATCATTCCTCTCTATCCTCTTTATTCTCTCACATTCCCTCTATTCCCTCTTCATTCCTCTCTCTTTCCTCTCTATTCTCTCTCTCTATTCTCTCTCTATTCCCTCTTTTTCTTTATTTTCTCTCTCCTCCTCTCTACTTTCCTTCCCCTCTTATTCTCTCTCTATTTCTCTTTATTCTCTCTCTATTCTCTCTATTCCTCTCTTATTCTCTCTCTATTCTCTCTCTATTCTCTCTCTATACTCTCTCTATTCCCCTCTATTCTCTTTATTCTCTCTATCTCTTTACTCTCTCTCTATTCTCTCTATTCTCTCTCTCTATTCTCTCTCTATCTCTCTATTCCCCCTTATTCTCTCTATTCCCTCTTTATTCTCTATTCTCTCTCTCTCTATACTCTCTCTCTCTCTATTCCCTCTTTATTCTCTCTCTATTCCCTCTTATTTCTCTCTATTCTCTCTCTTATTCTCTCTCTATTCTCTCTCTCTCTTCTCTCTCTCTCTCTCTCTCTCTCTATTCTCTCTCTCTATTCTCTCTCTTCTCTCTCTCTCTTCTCTCTCTCTCTCTATTCTCTGTCTTTATTCTCTCTCTTCCCGTTACTAAGACAGAAAGAGACTAATCACAGCTGATCATGTTACAGAGAGAGTGTGCACTCCTCTGTCCTGGAGATGGAAACTGTAACTTCCTGTTATTGTTTTGTAAATAAAGTCTTCATCAGGAGAGATCATTCACCTGCGCTGGTTTCTAGAAACTTATTTCATCAGGAACAATCTGAACTGAAATGACTTTTACATGAAATACTGTTCGAAAGTGCTGTTTATGTGATAAGATGAATTTATCGTGTTTATTTAACACATCTTTATTATTATTATTATTATTATTATTATTATTATTATTATTGTTGTTGTTGTCAGTGTGAGCGCGCGATCTGACCTTGTGCGGCGGGCGCAGGAGCGCGTGCACGGCGGCCAGCTGGTCTCCGAGCGGTGCGTCCTGGCGGAAGGAGTATCGCGGCGGGCGCGCGGGCTCCGGGAAGCTGGTGCTATTGAACGGGTCAGTGTCGTCCACGAACTGAACCCTGCACTCGAACAGCGCGGCCATGGCGCACGGCCATACACCAACGGAACCGGAAATGATTTTTTAACAGGTGTTTTTTTTAGTCGGGTTTAAATCCGTTAATCCGCTTCTGCCAAATCCCGGTGACTCCGCGCGCGCTGAAAACTGCTTCAGCTATAGCTCGTGTATTCCTTTGCACAACGCGTGAAGTAAGTGTGTGTGTGTGTGTGTGTGTGTGTGTGTGTGTGAGAGGACCAGCTCTAATTACAGAAGAAACAGCGCCCTCTCTCTCTCTCTCTCTCTCTCTCTCTCACACACACACACACACACACACACCATCCATCGTCTATACTGCTTATCCTTCAGGGTCACTGGGGAACCTGGAGACTATCCCAGGGGCACAAGGCGGGGTACACCCTGGACAGGGTGCCATGCCACAATCACATACACAATCACACCCATTCATACACTACGGACACTTTGGACACGCCCATCAACCTACCTTTGGACTGGGGAAGGAAACCGGAGTACCCGGAGGAAACCCTCACAGCATGGGGCGAACATGCGAACTCCACACACACAGAGCCACGGTGGGAATCGAACCCCCGACTTTGGTGGTGTGAGATGAACGTGCTAACCACAAAGCCACGTGTGTCCCGATGTCTTCACAGTTCATAGTCATAATAAAAAGAAGAAGAAGAAGAAAATTTGCAAGCAGCATTTTCGGGGCCCAAGCACCCGCTGAACAAGACATTCACAGAGGCACTACAGTTGTTGCCAGTGTCTCTCACAGGTTGAGAATGTACTTGTGGTGGTAAACTAGTCAAGCAATTGCAAATGAATAACTTCTTAAATATATATTTCAACATCAATAACTGTTAAGAAATAAATAACTACATATTAAAATACATTTTCCATTTTCCAAAATATACAATGTAAAAAATGTTGGGTTATTTTTTGTACCCAAACGCTGGGTTGAGCCTTTTGGGTCATTTAAGTGGGGTATTTTCTCAATCTCCGGTAGTTTTTGGATAGTTTTGTGTGACCCAACCACTGGGTTAGTAGCTGGGTCATTTTCACTGACAGTTGAAGCAATGCCCCCCTACCCCACCCCGACAACTCATCCGGGTGAATTCGGCACCTCACTTGTTTGAATTCACCTCAGGTGAAGGTTTTTGAGGTGAGGAAACCGACTGAACACAGGTAAGTTAGCGTTAATGCTGCTGAAAAAGCCTGGCTGAGTTTATGATATTTAGTCAGGGAGCACTTCAGAATTGATTCATTGTAAACAGTAATTCAGTGATAATTAACTTTATCTATCACTACGGCTTCAACAGTGAGCATCATGTACTTCTTCCTCAGTGTTCGTGTTACAGTACTAGTGTCATGTGTTTATGTTGGCTGTGAAATATAGACTGAGTTTATTCTATAATTCTCTGGGTGTGTATCTTATACGAGGCTCTGAGTTAGGGTAAGCTAGCTGGATGCTGTCACCAATCACAGTAGGGAAGATTGATGCTAACCTAGACCCTCTCTTAATAACATAACTTTAGCATACAGCTCGCGGTAATCTTAGACATTCCCATGACCTTTTTGAAAGGTAATGATAACATAGTATTACAGCTGTTCACCATGATGTAATACAGAGAACGGGTTAACGTTAACTACAGTTAGCAAGTGTTTTGGACGAGGCAAGCTGTAGTAATTAACATGGTGAGGATAGATTAGTGCCGTGTTTCTTCATGTATTGGTGAATGTTAATGCTGGGTAACAGGTGCAAACAGTCAGTGGCTAACGGAATTTAGCTAGCTCAGTAATGTCGAGGCTAAAAGTTATTCAGAAGGTTAACGTGACAGAAGGTGAGGTTGACTCTTGTCTTCCCAGATGGCAGCGAGATTTGTAAGAAGATGCATCGACTTCAATTCTTATCTGTCAAATGTTTAAATGATTTTATTAAATGTCACCTGAATTCCATACAATTGTTTGTTTATTTTATGAGCATTTTAGTAGAATTTTAGTACAGACACAAATTGCATTTTAGGATAATTGTAGGGAAAAATGCATAAACACATCTCTGTGTTATTTGCGTAATTTTTTACAAATCTTTGTGTGAAAATGTTTAACACACAGCAAGTGGTAAATGTACTAACACAAACACTAACATTCTGTGTTAAAAACAACAGTTGTGTTAAACAGCATATAATTAAGTGAAGGTTTGTATTAATATATTTATCCATAAACGCATTGCAGTACACAAGAAAAAGCAGAAATGTGTGATAACAGTCCATTTTATAGGACATTAAATGTAACGCTATCTTTGTTATCTTTGGATTACTTGTTTATAAAGTCACTGGATCGTAAGTTGGTTACTCGGGTTGTTGGAGGTTTTAAATATCGCCTTTTATCAAAATCTGAGTTTAAAAAAAATGTATGTATATCCATCCATCCATCCATCTTCTACCGTTTACTCCTTTTCAGGGTCACGGGGAACCTGCAGCCAATCCCAGGGAGCATGGGGCACACGGCGGGGTACACCCAAATATAAGACTTATTTTATTTATTTTCTTCAAAGTCTATAAGCACTATTTTAGCAGCGTTAAACACTTTCTGAATACTTTCTTGAGTATAAATAAAGTAGATACCATGTTGACATTTTTGTTTATAATGTGGTATATTTGACATTTTCAAAGGGTAAAAATAACCCTGAAAATATTAACCCATTTATGAAATAAAATTAGCACAATATTTTTGTAAAAATGAAACCATCTTTTGGGTTGAAAAAAATCCATTTGTTGGGTAAAAATTAACAACCAAACTTGATGGGTTAGTTTAGCTCAAAATGTGTTCTGTCCTATATTTACCCAGCTGTTGGGTTAAAATTAACCCACTTTAGGTCGTTTTTAACCCAGTGTTTTTAAAGGGCATTAAGAACAAAAGACAGACTGGTTTTTGATGAACATGTCAAAATCTTCAACTTGGCTTGGAGAAACACTTTTCCAAAAGCCTGTGTGAATGGGTATGCTTCAAGGGAAGGTCCACTGATAGAGATTCTGAGGCATGCAGCCAGGTGTTCAGGCATAAACCCATTACATTACTTGCCCACCATCATTTTGCTTATTTTTAAAAATAGAAATAAAACCTATTTAGTTCATTTTTGTGTATTAGCACCCACGTTTATCAAATAAAAAACTCTTCATTTTAAAAAACGACTAAGCGTGTTATCAATACTTAGCTCGACGATGAACGTTACAATTATAAACAGAGTCTGCTCCATGACTGTCTGCAGCAGCAGTCAGCAGAGTTTAGCAATGAGACTGATCAGAGCTGTACAACCTTGCCATCAGTATAAAGACATTACTAGGATGAAGGGAGGACATCTCGCTTTGTTTGAAAACGTTAAAAATAAAGTCAGGCTTGTTGTCGGGTTCCCGACTCATTTTTTAAAAATATGAGAGAGCGAGCTGACAGCACAGAGTGAGAGACAGCGCGAACTAGACAACGAATGACAAGAGCGAGTCGAAGTGAGAATTAAAACATTATTTTCTGATTGTTAACCCTGCAGGAAGGTGCTGCAATGCCCGAATTGGTGCAAATACAGCCCACAGGTCTGCTGGCTTGTGTTCATTATGAACTGACATTTTTGTTTCTTGATTGAAATGAAAAATTGGAATTCAGATTTTATCTGCCTGGGCGGGTCTTAATCTACCTGAGCGGGCCAACCAGGTAGAGCCAATGTATGGGAAACTTTGGCTGCATAAGAAATCACAGGAAAGAAGAGACATACTGTACAGTTTTTGCTTCTCTTGTGCCCGATGCTCCCTGGGATAGGCTCAAGGTTCCCCCGCGACCCTAAAGAAGGAGTAAGCGGTAGAAGATGGATGGATGGATTATAACTTTGGACCTGTAGGTGGCACTGTCACAATTTGTTGCATAGCCTCAGGTCACAAAATTTGTAGGAGGAGTAGTGAAAGAAAGGGTTTTTTTGGACAAAATCCAAGATGGCAGAATATGTAATTAGGCAGAAGTTGACATAACATGCGATGAACTTGTCTTCACTCACAGAATCCAGGCATGCCTTTTTGAAAACAAGTTATGACCATAAACATACATCCAAATTAGGCCCAAATTGGACCCAATGGTGGTGTGAGAGCGTTGGCAGCACTTGGCCCAAATTTTGTCAGAATATAACACGTTTGCCTCACACCTCCAGGGTTGACAGTTCGATTCCTGCCGTGGCTCTGTGTATGCGGAGTTTGCACACACAGAGTTCTCCTCATGCTTCAGGGGTTTCCTCCAGTCCAAAGACATGCATTGTAGGCCGATTGGCATGTCCAAATAGTATCTGTAGTGTATGAATGGGTGTGTGAATGTATGTGTGATTGTGACCTGCGATGGACTGTCGCCCAGTCCAGGGTGTCCCCCGCCTCGTGCCCAATGCTCTCTGGGATAGGCTCCAATCAATGTGCCAAATTTCACAACTTTTTACTACACAGTTCTGTAGGCTGTCATAGACACCCTAGCCAGAAGAAGAGAAAGAAGCAGCAGAAGAAGTTTAAAGCTGCACACAGAATTTAGGAGGCCTTGCACACAATGGTGTGTAGACAGGTCTTAAAATTTTTTACGTCATTGTAACTTTTGATCTCTAGGTGGTTGTCATGAAATTGTGCACATAGCGAGCTCCATGAAGACATGGTGTGTTACGGTCAGAGTGGAAGAACTTAATTGTCCTTTTTTAAGTGAAGATTTTGTGTAGAAAGTTTGTACCAGAGACACTAAAAATAACAATAAAGAGAGTAACAGAAATCAGGGTAATGATTTACGTGAATGACATTAATGCTCTTGGTTTGGAGGAGGATTTACACCTCATGTTTTCCTAAAACTGACTCTTCCTACAATGACTCTTCATAAGTGTGGACACAGGGACAAAGGGTTAAATAGTCTGCGTACGGCTGCAGAGAGAGAAAATGCAAATGACCTAAAAGCAAAAGAAAAGTAAAATGAAAAAAAAAAGGTCTAAAAAGAGGAGCAAAGACAGGATCTACAGGAAACACACAAGTCTCACTGAGGGAACGCAAATCAAATCATTTGCATGAAGCAGAAGGTAAAAACTGAAAAGCAAGCTCTGGGAGAGCTGTGTGTAACACGTTATTGTAATGAGTTTTTTCTTATAATGCACTAATGTAACGCATCACATTTTAACTGGATGTAATTTGATGTCAATAAAATTGCCTTATTTGCATTACACATTTATTGTTAAGAAAACAATATGAAGAAAAATGCCCTGAAGATTTTTTCTTTCTCTCTGAATAATTCTCCACTCAGAGCGGTTCGTCATGACGTAACTGAACGTCAGTAAAAGACGACGCCTGTAATTTTATATCTTCAGTGAACGGAGACGAGACCAATCAGACAGCGTTTACAGGAAATTCATGGAAATACTCGTGTCTTATTGGCTGACATTCTCTCAATTCTGCCCAACGCTAGCTCATAGTCAGTGTGAGGAAAAATGGATAAAAGCCGATTTATAATTTAAACCAGTAAAGGAGTTGAAACTGAAACAGAAACATTCTCTGATGCTGAGCAGGAAAACACGGTGTGTAAATGTCTATATGAGTTCCAGTTTACGTGAACATGATATGAGCAGAGCAGAAGGAA